ACACCGAGTAGTGAAACTGCACCTTCTGCCACACCTGCTATGGCCAGAAAACCTCCATCTCCCAGGTCGCCATGTCATCTCAAGACTACTGGAAAACCAACGACACGCAGTAGTAAAACTATACCACCTCCTACACCTGCTATGGCCAATAAGCCTCCAACTCTCAGGAGGTCAAGTCGTCTCAAAACTCCTGGAACACCAGCGACACTGAGTTGTGAAACTGCACCTCCTTCCACATCGGGTATAGTCAGTAAACCTCCAATTCCCAGGACGCCAAGTCATCTCAAATAGTAATCCCGAAAGTCCTGAAACACCAGCGACACCCAATAGTGAAATTGGATTCCCTCCTACACCCAGTATACTCAGTAAACCCCCAACTCCCAGGACGCCACGTCATCTCAAAACTACTAGAAAACTGACGACACGTAGTAGTAAAACTATACCTCCTCCTACACCCACTATGGCCAGTAAAGCTCCAACTCTCAGGTCGCCAAGTCATCTCAAAACTACTGAAAAACCGACGACACGCAGTAGTAAAACTATACCTCCCCCTACACTCGCTATAGCCAGTAAACCTCCAACTCCCCTGGCTCTTCTAGTGAACCCGACACTGCAGACACTCCTGGCTCTTCTAGTGAACCCGACACTGCAGACACTCCTGGCTCTTCTAGTGAACCCGACACTGCAGACACTCCTGGCTCTTCTAGTGAACCCGACACTGCAGACACTCCTGGCTCTTCTAGTGAACCCGACACTGCAGACACTCCTGGCTCTTCTAGTGAACCCGACACTGCAGACACTCCTGGCTCTTCTAGTGAACCCGACACTGCAGACACTCCTGGCTCTTCTAGTGAACCCGACACTGCAGACACTCCTGGCTCTTCTAGTGAACCCGACACTGCAGACACTCCTGGCTCTTCTAGTGAACCCGACACTGCAGACACTCCTGGCTCTTCTAGTGAACCCGACACTGCAGACACTCCACGCACTAATAATGACCCAGATAATTCAGGCTCCTCCGGGACACCTAATGAATCCGAGACTGCAAGTACTTCTAGTGAACACGATTTTCCAGACACATCTGGTGAATCTGTAACTGACTCCGGTACTGCAAACACATCCAGTTCTCCCGAAACATCTGTTACACAAGCGACATCCGACGGCGAACCTCCTTGTACGCCTGATACAACCAGTAAACCTCCAACTCCCAGGACACCAAGTAATCCCGAAAGTCCTGAAACACCAGCGACACCCAATAGTGAAATTGGATTCCCTCCTACACCCAGTATACTCAGTAAACCCCCAACTCCCAGGACGCCACGTCATCTCAAAACTACTAGAAAACTGACGACACGTAGTAGTAAAACTATACCTCCTCCTACAGCCACAATGGCCAGTAAAGCACCAACTCCCAGGACACCAAGTCATCTCAAATCTCCCGAAACACTAGCGACACCGTGGAGAGAAAGTACACCTCATGCCACACCCACAATGGCCATTAAACCTCCAACTCCCAGGACGCCAATTCATCTCAAAGATACTGGAAAACCGACGACACGCAGTAGTAGAACTATACTTTTTCCTACACCTACTATGGCCAGTAAACTTCCAACGCCCAGGACGCCAAGTCATTTCAAAACTCCTGAAACACCAGCGACACGCAGTAATGAAACTACATCTCCTCCCACACCTGATATGGCCAGTAAACCTCCAACGCCCAGGGCGCCAAGTCATTTCAAAACTCCTGAAACACCAGCGACACGCAGTAATGAAACTACATCTCCTCCCACACCTGATATGGCCAGTAAACCTCCAACGCCCAGGGCGCCAAGTCATTTCAAAACTCCTGAAACACCAGCGACACGCAGTAATGAAACTACATCTCCTCCCACACCTGATATGGCCAGTAAACCTCCAACGCCCAGGGCGCCAAGTCATTTCAAAACTCCTGAAACACCAGCGACACGCAGTAATGAAACTACATCTCCTCCCACACCTGATATGGCCAGTAAACCTCCAACGCCCAGGGCGCCAAGTCATTTCAAAACTCCTGAAACACCAGCGACACGCAGTAATGAAACTACATCTCCTCCCACACCTGATATGGCCAGTAAACCTCCAACGCCCAGGGCGCCAAGTCATTTCAAAACTCCTGAAACACCAGCGACACGCAGTAATGAAACTACATCTCCTCCCACACCTGATATGGCCAGTAAACCTCCAACGCCCAGGGCGCCAAGTCATTTCAAAACTCCTGAAACACCAGCGACACGCAGTAATGAAACTACATCTCCTCCCACACCTGATATGGCCAGTAAACCTCCAACGCCCAGGGCGCCAAGTCATTTCAAAACTCCTGAAACACCAGCGACACACAGTAATGAAACTGCACCTCCTTCCACATCGGGTATAGTCAGTAAACCTCCAACTCCCAGGACGCCAAGTCATCTCACGGCTACTCGAAAACCGACGACACGTAGTAGTAAAACTATACCTCCTCCTACACCCACTATGGCCAGTAAAGCTCCAACTGCCAAGACGGTAGGTCATCTCAAAACTCCTGAAACACTCTCGACATCCAGTAGTGAATCGGTATCTCCTTCTACACCCGGTATGCGCAGTGAACCTCCAACTCCCTGAACTCCAAGAAATCAGAAAGCTACTGAAACACCAACGACACCCAGTAGTGAAATTGGACCTACTTCTACTCCCGCTATGGCCAGTAAACCTCTAACTCCGAGGACGCCAGGTTATCTGAAAAACTTCTGAAACACCAGCGACTCCCAGTAGTGAAACTGGATCACCTCTTACTCCCAGAATGCCCAATAGTCCTCCAACTCCCTGGACACCAGATATTCCCGAAACTCCTGAAACACCAATGACACACAACAGTGAAATTGGACCTTTTCGGACACCTGGTATACCTAATGATCCCGCAACTCCCGGCGCATCTCCCACACCTAGTGAACCTGCTAGTCCCTACAAATACGATACTCTACTCACACTCGGTATTTCCGTAACTCCGAAAACACAAACGACAGCCAGTAGTGAATCTGAAACTCCCGGCACACCTGGTATTCCTAGTGAGCCTGATACTACAGGCTCCTCTGGGAGTTCTTGTGGACCTGAAACGCCTGCTACACCTGGCTCTACTAACATGCCTGCTCCGCTTTGCATTCCGTGTTAATCAGCATCTCCCAGTAATCTTAGCACTGCTAGTTCATCTGAATCTTCAGGTACATCTGGAATAACTATTGAACCTTGTAATACTATCACTGGGAATCCTAGTACTTCTGGCACTCCTGGCACTCCCGCTGAAACAGCTACTCCTAACACTTCTGGCTCTACTTCCGGTATTCTGTTATCTGGTTTCATTTGTATAAATATAAACGATGACAAGTTACTGATTATTTATATATTTCGCAGGAACTTCTGGTTCTACAAATACGCCAGGCATTTGTGCACATGATGGGTTCTTTCCAGACCCTGGAGACTGTCGAAAATTTTATCGCTGTGTCGGCAGTGGTTCCACGTTTATCAAATACGAGTTCCAGTGCGGTACAGGAACTGCTTGGGATTCTGCTATTCAGAGCTGTAATCACGATTATCTCGTTCCTGGTTGTAAAGGCGCGACGATATCGACTAGTTTGCCAGACACTACAGTACCAAATTCATCTTCTAATGAAGTCACCAGTACAACTGATTCCAGTACACCAGATTATACTACGAAGAAGCCTAATAACGTCGGTGTGACAAATTCTATCGTTGCGATGACAATGGAAACGGCTTCAGCGTGTTTTATTTCAACTGCGGACCTGGAACCATATGGGATCCTAGCATCAACACGTGCAATTATGCCGATGCCGTGTATCCTCCAAGAAATTGCACGATGCCTCCGTCAGTTTCATCTATTAGTACAGAACAACCATCAGGTAGTGCAAGCACTGGATCTACTGCAACAATAACCGCTTCGACTACTTCATCTATAGCGCCGACAGAAACTGGCACAGCCTCATCTCAATCGGGTACAGAATCTACTTCTGGGGCAACTACGAAAAAGCCTAATAACGTCACAGTGTGTGATAGGCCAGGTTACTATCCGGACCCAACACGGTGTGACAAATTCTATCGTTGCGATGACAATGGAAACGGCTTCAGCGTGTTTTATTTCAACTGCGGACCTGGAACCATATGGGATCCTAGCATCAACACGTGCAATTATGCCGATGCCGTGTATCCTCCAAGAAATTGCACGATGCCTCCGTCAGTTTCATCTATTAGTACAGAACAACCATCAGGTAGTGCAAGCACTGGATCTACTGCAACAATAACCGCTTCGACTACTTCATCTATAGCGCCGACAGAAACTGGCACAGCCTCATCTCAATCGGGTACAGAATCTACTTCTGGGGCAACTACGAAAAAGCCTAATAACGTCACAGTGTGTGATAGGCCAGGTTACTATCCGGACCCAACACGGTGTGACAAATTCTATCGTTGCGATGACAATGGAAACGGCTTCAGCGTGTTTTATTTCAACTGCGGACCTGGAACCATATGGGATCCTAGCATCAACACGTGCAATTATGCCGATGCCGTGTATCCTCCAAGAAATTGCACGATGCCTCCGTCAGTTTCATCTATTAGTACAGAACAACCATCAGGTAGTGCAAGCACTGGATCTACTGCAACAATAACCGCTTCGACTACTTCATCTATAGCGCCGACAGAAACTGGCACAGCCTCATCTCAATCGGGTACAGAATCTACTTCTGGGGCAACTACGAAAAAGCCTAATAACGTCACAGTGTGTGATAGGCCAGGTTACTATCCGGACCCAACACGGTGTGACAAATTCTATCGTTGCGATGACAATGGAAACGGCTTCAGCGTGTTTTATTTCAACTGCGGACCTGGAACCATATGGGATCCTAGCATCAACACGTGCAATTATGCCGATGCCGTGTATCCTCCAAGAAATTGCACGATGCCTCCGTCAGTTTCATCTATTAGTACAGAACAACCATCAGGTAGTGCAAGCACTGGATCTACTGCAACAATAACCGCTTCGACTACTTCATCTATAGCGCCGACAGAAACTGGCACAGCCTCATCTCAATCGGGTACAGAATCTACTTCTGGGGCAACTACGAAAAAGCCTAATAACGTCACAGTGTGTGATAGGCCAGGTTACTATCCGGACCCAACACGGTGTGACAAATTCTATCGTTGCGATGACAATGGAAACGGCTTCAGCGTGTTTTATTTCAACTGCGGACCTGGAACCATATGGGATCCTAGCATCAACACGTGCAATTATGCCGATGCCGTGTATCCTCCAAGAAATTGCACGATGCCTCCGTCAGTTTCATCTATTAGTACAGAACAACCATCAGGTAGTGCAAGCACTGGATCTACTGCAACAATAACCGCTTCGACTACTTCATCTATAGCGCCGACAGAAACTGGCACAGCCTCATCTCAATCGGGTACAGAATCTACTTCTGGGGCAACTACGAAAAAGCCTAATAACGTCACAGTGTGTGATAGGCCAGGTTACTATCCGGACCCAACACGGTGTGACAAATTCTATCGTTGCGATGACAATGGAAACGGCTTCAGCGTGTTTTATTTCAACTGCGGACCTGGAACCATATGGGATCCTAGCATCAACACGTGCAATTATGCCGATGCCGTGTATCCTCCAAGAAATTGCACGATGCCTCCGTCAGTTTCATCTATTAGTACAGAACAACCATCAGGTAGTGCAAGCACTGGATCTACTGCAACAATAACCGCTTCGACTACTTCATCTATAGCGCCGACAGAAACTGGCACAGCCTCATCTCAATCGGGTACAGAATCTACTTCTGGGGCAACTACGAAAAAGCCTAATAACGTCACAGTGTGTGATAGGCCAGGTTACTATCCGGACCCAACACGGTGTGACAAATTCTATCGTTGCGATGACAATGGAAACGGCTTCAGCGTGTTTTATTTCAACTGCGGACCTGGAACCATATGGGATCCTAGCATCAACACGTGCAATTATGCCGATGCCGTGTATCCTCCAAGAAATTGCACGATGCCTCCGTCAGTTTCATCTATTAGTACAGAACAACCATCAGGTAGTGCAAGCACTGGATCTACTGCAACAATAACCGCTTCGACTACTTCATCTATAGCGCCGACAGAAACTGGCACAGCCTCATCTCAATCGGGTACAGAATCTACTTCTGGGGCAACTACGAAAAAGCCTAATAACGTCACAGTGTGTGATAGGCCAGGTTACTATCCGGACCCAACACGGTGTGACAAATTCTATCGTTGCGATGACAATGGAAACGGCTTCAGCGTGTTTTATTTCAACTGCGGACCTGGAACCATATGGGATCCTAGCATCAACACGTGCAATTATGCCGATGCCGTGTATCCTCCAAGAAATTGCACGATGCCTCCGTCAGTTTCATCTATTAGTACAGAACAACCATCAGGTAGTGCAAGCACTGGATCTACTGCAACAATAACCGCTTCGACTACTTCATCTATAGCGCCGACAGAAACTGGCACAGCCTCATCTCAATCGGGTACAGAATCTACTTCTGGGGCAACTACGAAAAAGCCTAATAACGTCACAGTGTGTGATAGGCCAGGTTACTATCCGGACCCAACACGGTGTGACAAATTCTATCGTTGCGATGACAATGGAAACGGCTTCAGCGTGTTTTATTTCAACTGCGGACCTGGAACCATATGGGATCCTAGCATCGACACGTGCAACCATCCCGAGTCAGTGTATCCTGCAAGAAATTGCACGATGCCTCCGTCAGGTTCATCTACTAGTACAGAACAATCATCAGGTAGTACAAGCACTGGATCTACTGCAACAATGACCGATTCGACTACTTCATCTACAGCGCCGACAGAAACTGGCACAGCCTCATCTCAATCGAATACAGAATCTACTTCTGGAGATATTACCGAAACCACGACTAAAGTATCTGCTCAGCCAACAATAACCGATTCGTCTACTTCATCTACGGCACCGACAGAAACTGACACAGCTGCATCTCAATCGAGTACAGAATCTACTTCTGGAGATGTTACGGAAACCACGACTAAAGTATCTGCTCAGCCTACAATAACCGATTCTTCTACTTCATCTACGGCACCGACAGAAACTGACACAGCTGCATCTCAATCGAGTACAGAATCTACTTCTGGAGATGTTACGGAAACCACGACTAAAGTATCTGCTCAGCCTACAATAACCGATTCTTCTACTTCATCTACGGCACCGACAGAAACTGACACAGCTGCATCTCAATCGAGTACAGAATCTACTTCTGGAGATGTTACGGAAACCACGACTAAAGTATCTGCTCAGCCTACAATAACCGATTCTTCTACTTCATCTACGGCACCGACAGAAACTGACACAGCTGCATCTCAATCGAGTACAGAATCTACTTCTGGAGATGTTACGGAAACCACGACTAAAGTATCTGCTCAGCCTACAATAACCGATTCTTCTACTTCATCTACGGCACCGACAGAAACTGACACAGCTGCATCTCAATCGAGTACAGAATCTACTTCTGGAGATGTTACGGAAACCACGACTAAAGTATCTGCTCAGCCTACAATAACCGATTCTTCTACTTCATCTACGGCACCGACAGAAACTGACACAGCTGCATCTCAATCGAGTACAGAATCTACTTCTGGAGATGTTACGTACAGAACAATCATCAGGTAGTACAAGCACTGGATCTACTGCAACAATGACCGATTCGACTACTTCATCTACAGCGCCGACAGAAACTGGCACAGCCTCATCCCAATCGAGTACAGAATCTACTTCTGGGGCAACTACGAAAAAGCCTAATAACGTCACAGTGTGTGATAGGCCAGGTTACTATCCGGACCCAACACGGTGTGACAAATTCTATCGTTGCGATGACAATGGAAACGGCTTCAGCGTGTTTTATTTCAACTGCGGACCTGGAACCATATGGGATCCTAGCATCAACACGTGCAATTATGCCGATGCCGTGTATCCTCCAAGAAATTGCACGATGCCTCCGTCAGTTTCATCTATTAGTACAGAACAACCATCAGGTAGTGCAAGCACTGGATCTACTGCAACAATAACCGCTTCGACTACTTCATCTATAGCGCCGACAGAAACTGGCACAGCCTCATCTCAATCGGGTACAGAATCTACTTCTGGGGCAACTACGAAAAAGCCTAATAACGTCACAGTGTGTGATAGGCCAGGTTACTATCCGGACCCAACACGGTGTGACAAATTCTATCGTTGCGATGACAATGGAAACGGCTTCAGCGTGTTTTATTTCAACTGCGGACCTGGAACCATATGGGATCCTAGCATCAACACGTGCAATTATGCCGATGCCGTGTATCCTCCAAGAAATTGCACGATGCCTCCGTCAGTTTCATCTATTAGTACAGAACAACCATCAGGTAGTGCAAGCACTGGATCTACTGCAACAATAACCGCTTCGACTACTTCATCTATAGCGCCGACAGAAACTGGCACAGCCTCATCTCAATCGGGTACAGAATCTACTTCTGGGGCAACTACGAAAAAGCCTAATAACGTCACAGTGTGTGATAGGCCAGGTTACTATCCGGACCCAACACGGTGTGACAAATTCTATCGTTGCGATGACAATGGAAACGGCTTCAGCGTGTTTTATTTCAACTGCGGACCTGGAACCATATGGGATCCTAGCATCGACACGTGCAACCATCCCGAGTCAGTGTATCCTGCGAGAAATTGCACGATGCCTCCGTCAGGTTCATCTACTAGTACAGAACAACCATCAGGTAGTACAAGCACTGGATCTACTGCAACAATAACCGATTCGACTACTTCATCTACAGCGCCGACAGAAACTGGCACAGCCTCATCCCAATCGAGTACAGAATCTACTTCTGGGGCAACTACGAAAAAGCCTAATAACGTCACAGTGTGTGATAGGCCAGGTTACTATCCGGACCCAACACGGTGTGACAAATTCTATCGTTGCGATGACAATGGAAACGGCTTCAGCGTGTTTTATTTCAACTGCGGACCTGGAACCATATGGGATCCTAGCATCAACACGTGCAATTATGCCGATGCCGTGTATCCTCCAAGAAATTGCACGATGCCTCCGTCAGTTTCATCTATTAGTACAGAACAACCATCAGGTAGTGCAAGCACTGGATCTACTGCAACAATAACCGCTTCGACTACTTCATCTATAGCGCCGACAGAAACTGGCACAGCCTCATCTCAATCGGGTACAGAATCTACTTCTGGGGCAACTACGAAAAAGCCTAATAACGTCACAGTTTGTGATAAGCCAGGTTACTATCCGGACCCAACACGGTGTGACAGATTCTATGAGTGCAGTGACAATGGAAACGGCTTCGACGTGAAATATTATGATTGTCCCATCGGAACCATATTTGATCCCAGCATCGATAGATGCAATGTTCCGGAGTCAGTGCATCCTCCAAGAAATTGCACGATGTCTACTACTACGGAAGGATCATCGACGTTTGAAACGACTACAGAATCAACGAGTGGGGGAAGCACCGATAGTAGTACAGCATCCAGCTCAGGAGAGATTACCGAAACAGCAACATCAACTACAGGATTCACCACGGGATCGACTACGGATGCTTCTATCCCAACGCCTTGTCCAATTGGAAATTTAACCGATGAACAAATAGTACTAGTCTGCCCAACTGGTTTCCGAAGACATCCGAAATATTGCAACCTATTTTATCAATGTACTATGGAAAACAATGTGGACATCAAAGTACTGGTACTGAGTTGCCCAGAGGGATTGATCTTCGACGATCAAAAGTTACAGTGTTTGCCAGAAGACAAAACCGACCAACATTGCAAGGGTACCAAAGCTTCTGCACGATTTTACAGAAGATTAGAGGAGAGTTCTGTGTCTCCTGTAAGTATTTGATTTTAAATTTTTACTTCTACCTTTTTTAAAGCATATCTGAGTATTTTCTTTTAAATATCTATTTGATTCCAGATCAAAGCATCGAGCGAGGTACTATGTCCAGGAGCGGGACACTATCCTTACAAACAAGGCTGCAGTAGCGTGTTCTATAATTGCAAACAGAATTCCACGGACAATCTTCAAGGTTATTTGTATAAATGTCCAGAGAACTTCTTGTACTGGTCAGTTTCGAGGAGATGCGAGCGTGCAACACAATTACCATTGTGCACGATATTTGGGCATAAAGATAAAGAGAATTGGGAGGAGAGATGGGAGATTCCAATAGAAGAGTCTAATCTGTCTGCCCGAAGTCTGTTTGTCTAAATTTTCATAAAAAGCTATTAGTGGTTCGAATGGACAGCGTAAACTCTCAGGACAATTTCTGCTCGTATTTTCTATTAGATCTATTTAAAGGTCGTAACTTTTACTTATTAGAATATGAGTAAATTATCTTTGCAACATGGCTGCGGAAGATCTCATAAAGAAACATTCAGATCTTCAACAGTCATCTTGCCGTAATTAATAACTCTATATCGATTCATGTGCAAAAAGTAATTCTTAACTATTTTTCGAGAATATAATAGGTATTTTCCTATGATTTTCCGTAGCGAGATCGTAAAATCATTGGAAAACCTTCGCGAGTGTTGGGGTTTTCGGTTGAGGGATTTATATGCAATATTCGACTGTATTCAGTAATTTATAATATTTATTTATAGAGTCGAACATTTTCTTGCGACTACGTGCCACGATTTATATAATTTTATGTTAATGTAACCATAATAAATCAAAATTGACGATAATAAAATTAATATCCATAGATGAATATAATAATTAAAGATTAGAATTTTGAGTACGGCGAAATATAAAATATAGAATGTTTGGCGTTTAATAAATTTATCCGACGAATTTAATAGTGCTCAAACTTTTCACTGTGAAAGTATATTTACAACCTCAGAACCATGTTCTGAATACAGTACAAAAAACAATAAGCTTGGGAAGATAATTTTGTATATAATTACGTGTTAATTATTCTAATCACTGCTTCCTTTATATGAAACATCATTCATTGCGTTTAATTTCTTCTTTCAATTGCGATGAGATATCGAGTATCGTTAAGGTACCCTTTGTAAAAAAAAAAAAGGAGCATTGCGTTTAACACGTTTATTTAGACGTAAAATATCCCTAATGTAGTCATTGAATGAGTACAAGTATTGTGTGTGTTTGTGTTAGATTCTTCTGAAAATTGTTATTAATGAATAATAATGATGAATAATAAATAATGAATTTTCACATAAAATAAAGAAGTGCAAAATTCTACAGATCTTTATTCTACAGATATCTATCCCGTCATATTTCCTGGTTGTGAAAGAAGGTTAAAACTCAGTTAAAAATAACTTATAGCGATATTTGTTTTTCTAGAACACTGCTGAAAATAAATCATTTAAAAAATTAAGTCGATTGTCTAGCACCATTCGATTACACTGGCCGATTGTAATTTACTTTGTGTGTGCGTACGTATGACGTGACTGTGACTCATATAAGTCATATACTCATACTTTACTATATTACAGCCAGTCGAACAGCAGAGCCGTGGATGAGTAGGTGGTTGTTAAATTGAATTAATTGTTATCTATACAAAAGTATTCAGGAAGATCTAAGCGCCTAAGAAAAATTGCAAATAACAATCACTCTTAACAGAGCAAAATGTTTCGCAGTTCGCTTAATTTTGACAAATTATTAGGTACGTTTTTGTCGCTTATATCAGATGAACAAGATGTCCGACTGTCGAATTATATTTTGAATTTTTTTTATAGATAAAGCAACGAATCCTTATCAACTTGAACCTGACTGGGTAGCAGTACTTCAAATATGTGATTTAATACGTCAAGGGGATGTGCAGTAAGCGAATATTATTATTTAGTCCGAAGTTAACCTTACTATTTCTTAACCATGATGAAACAATGACATTCTCAATTTACTGTGCATATGCAATTATTTTTCACATATTTTTCATATTTTGTAAAAGTGAATACTGTTTTAACTTTTTCTTATTTATTGTTTCATATTGTATCATAATGGCAGAAATAGCATTGTGCCATTTAAGTATAGGTTAATAATGAAATCAAGTTTTAATTTTTTTATGTGTACAGACCTAAAGCAGTACTTGCAGCCATCAAAAAGAGAACAACAAATATAAATCCACATGTAGCTTTGTATGCTCTATTGGTGAGGAAAAATACGACTAACTGTCTGAGTAAATATTTTATTCTTGGAATTATCAGTTGCACTCTAAAAATATTATTCCTTGTATAGGTTTTAGAATCTTGTGTCAAAAATTGTGGTACGCTTATACATGATGAAATTGGTACTAAGCAATTCATGGAACAACTTAAAGAATTAGTAAAGACAACGACTTATGATAATGTTAAACTTAAAGCTTTAGAATTGATTCAAGCCTGGGCACATGCCTTTCGAAATTGTCCTAAATATAGAGCAGTGCAAGTATGTTTAATAAATGTGTTTTAATTATGCTTTATTTTAAATAATATAAAATGTTAATATTAATGGAACATGTGCATATCAGGATACACTTAATATTATGAAAGCTGAAGGATATAAATTTCCCACTTTAAAAGAAAGTGATGCTATGTTTATTGCTGACACTGCCCCAGCATGGGCAGATGGAGATGTGTGTCATCGTTGTCGCGTATCATTTAGTATGGTACAAAGAAAACATCACTGCAGAGCATGTGGTCAAGTATTTTGTAGTCAATGTTCGAGTAAAGTATCCACACTGCCTAAATTTGGAATTGAAAAGGAAGTTAGAGTGTGCGAAGCATGCTATGAAAAAGTTAATAAGTATGTATTAAATTTATTTTTATGTTACACTTTTATTACTTTATCTATATTTTTAATTCATTCATTTATTTCCACAGACCATCCACTGCTCAAATTAAAGAGGGAGATTTACCTGCTGAATATCTCAACAGCTCTTTAGCTCAACAACAACAAGTATATAACTATATAAAAAAGTTAGAAATTAGAAAGTATACATATATCGTAACATGCAATATCCCATATTAATAGGTACCTCCCAGGAAAACAGCAGCAGAACTACAAGAAGAAGAAGAACTTAATCTTGCCATAGCCTTAAGTCAGAGTGAAGCAGAACATCAAGAAAAAGAAAAAAAACGGGGAAGTCGTACAACAAAAGTAAACCCACCCAGCACACGCGTTGCGAGAGCATCTTCTCCACCACCATCACCTGTTAGTTTTAAATAGCACAAAACTTTAATAGAAAAGTACTATGATTTCAATTTTTCAGCAAGAAGAGACGGAGGTTGATTCTGAGCTTGCAGCGTACTTGAATCGTAAACGTTGGGAATTAAGACAAAGTGCATTAGAAGAACATAGTTCTAGAGCAGATGTTACCAGTCCTTCTGCTCCTAATATAAGTAGCCCAATGCCACAAAAAGTTATAATTGTTAAACAACAGAACGGAGAAGTTGATACTCAAATGGAAGAATTTGTTAATGCTTTACGATCTCAAGTTGAAATTTTTGTTAATAGAATGAAAAGCAATTCGTCAAGAGGCAGATCAATTGCTAATGATAGTTCTGTACAAACGTTGTTTTTAAATATTACTGCTATGCATTCAAGGTTTGTTTTAAAAGATATTTTTTATGTACATAATATGATATAAAATTCGATGATACAATAAACGAATTCTTTCAGATTATTGAGATATATTCAAGAACAAGACGATAGTAGAGTATACTACGAAGGTCTTCAAGATAAATTAACACAAATGAAAGATGCTAGAGCTGCCTTGGACGCTTTGCGGGAAGAACATAGAGAAAAATTACGAAGACAAGCGGAAGAAGCTGAGAGGCAAAGACAGATGTTGATGGCTCAAAAATTGGCGATTATGAGGAAGAAAAAACAAGAATATTTACAATATCAACGTCAACTTGCTTTACAAAAAATCCAGGAACAAGAAAGAGAAATGCAAATGAGACAAGAACAACAAAAGCAACAGTATATAATGGGTGAGTTTAAATAAATAACGCACAAAATCGTAAAATGATTTTTATTTTATTAAATATATTTTAGGTGGCTATCAAGCTGTCTCTGGTTTTATTGGACCATCTCAAGGTTCACCTGTGCGGCACGTCCAGTATGAAACACCAGGAACTAACTACAACCCTATGTCACCAACAAATCAAGGATTTATATATGGACAACCTACTATGAAACAATATCCTATGCAAAGTTACAATATGCCACCTCATGTAATGGGGCCAATAGCTAATCAAGACCAACAGCCAACCGATGCTGTTCAGGGGCATGAAGGAATGGGCCGAATTTCTGTTTCTGGCCCAGGAATGGTTAGTACAACTCCAAATTATATTTAAACATATACACTTCTTTTTTCGGTACTTCTATTGAGTTCCTTAAATAGTTCAAAACATTTTGAATCATATATTTTATTTAATTATTTTCTACATTTCTTTTGAAGATGTCTCAAATTACAAATCCCATACCGCAACTTCAGCAGGCAGGTGGACATCAAATGGGACCGCCATCACAAGGTCCTCCACCAAGTCATATAACGCAAACGCAGCCGACACCGGTACATTTGCCACCGCAACAGGGTGCTCCACAAATCACACAATCAGGACCACCAACTCAGATGGGTATACCTCAGGTACCTCAGAGTCATATGAGTCCTTCACCTGCACAAATAGGACCTGGAGCTCATGGCCCCCCTGGACAAGTTGTTGGTTTGCCACCACAAATGGGACCTCAGCAACCGTCTACGATGTCAGGACCTCAAGGACCCTCGATGCAGTCTCATGTTTCAAATACACCTATTTCATCTCAAGGAACAGGAACTATCCAAGTACCTCCTGGAACTACGATTGGAACGATGTTAACATCGAATCCGCCGATGCAAGGTCCTCAGGGAGCTAGTGTGCCGACAATGCAAGGTATGGCCCAGGCCCCGGTATCTCAAGGACAACAATTACAGTATCAGCCACCAAATTCTCTACCAGCTGCATCAAATGAATCCACACAAGTGAAAAAAGATGCGAAGCCGGAAACAGCAGAACTAATTTCCTTTGATTGAAAAAATTATGTGTGCATACAAGATAACTCATAATAAGAAGTGCATTTAAGGTAATCATTTTGCATACCAATTTTGATCTTAAATTGACATTGACTGTTTCAATTTGATGATAAAATTTTTTACGCTGTTTATTGAATTGGCAAAAATATAAATTTTTAAAACTATTATCGATAATTCTAAAAATACTGATTTAAACTTTGCAATTTATCAGTGAATTATGATATTTTACTATATATTAGGAAAAAATGGTTATATCATTATTGGTATTTATTTTAAGTTATAGAAATTCTCAACAATATATACACAAATCAAATATATGTCTTTCTTTGCATAATTTTTAAATATATATCTGATAAAAGGTTATAATACTTAAATAGCAAAGGCATACATTTCATGTATATGTATCTAAATGTAATGTATGTACAAAATATTTATATGTTACATAGCATAAAAGTGAAGAAAACTAATTTCATCTATACCTGACCTTTTGCTGGATATATTGTATATGATCTTATTTTTTTACAAGTTTAATTTTAAAATATTTTTTTCCTTGTGAAAATCAAAAAGAAAGTATTACGAACCACGAGATTTAAAAAAATGTTACATATAGTAAAATCCTTTATTATATCAATTAAACATCTTTTATCTTCGTTCAATATTGCATTTACATTCTTATTTTTTCTCTTTTCTTTGCTAATTTCTGAAAAAATTTTCGTGTGACCTATATTTTTTTAGAAATTTGTTTTCACAATCATATTGTCTCTACTTGACCCTTTCTACGTGGTTTCACTTCTTGCGGACAGGTGAACGATGTCTCTTCCGAATGTTTTCTGATCACAGTTGATGGCTCGCCATTAGCTGAACAAGTAGAAATTTGACTGTCTTTCTTTTCTTGACATATATGTGATATATTCAATCCATTAGAAGTTAAGGATGCTTTTCGAATTCGCATATCTTCTAAAGGAATTTCTTCGCTTCGTGGTCTTGGCATTTTCGGTGAATTATCCCGAGATCGTAATCCATTTTCGTGACTTTTTTCATTTGACACAGTATCACCGCGTTTCGGAGTCGACGACGAAAGACCGGGGGTAGGTCTAGCAGCATTTTCTCTACGCATTTGTGCTGCGAATCCAGGAACTTTATTTACGGTGAACATTGGACGCGGCAGATGTTCTTTTGGTCTCTGAGCACGTCCTACTAATCCTGAAATTAAAATGTTATTTATTTCTTATAATTCTTTTAAGTCTCATCAAACTAATTTAGTATTGCAATATATTTTACGTTCGTGTCGAAAACCACGTAGTGCATAATTTGGTGGTGTCGTGGCGTGAGGTATACTTGTAGGAATATCGAGTAGTCTTGCAATTTGATTCATTTTCTTCTGTCGTGCTTTTATTCTTCCTTTTGTTAGCCTTTAATTAAAAGCAAATTTATTGAATCACGTTCTGATAATAAATATTAATTACACCATACAAGTTTACCTTTGTTTCGCGGCCATACATCTTATATGATCATCGAAAATGAATTTTGTTGATAACAATGGAACACGATTGCCAGTACTACTGCTTAAAGGTTTATAGATTGTCAAGTGTAGACATCTAGAATCATCTTTGTCACCTGCAACTTCGATATCTTGCAGAAACCCTACCAATTTTGCCACTCCCCAACCTAGTTTACTAGTATCAGGTTCAACAAGAATTAATTGCACAATGTCGATAACTAGAAAACGACGGATTTTCTGACCATCTTTCCACACAACTGTACATGCGATTAAATCGCTATTATCTATATAAAAAAATAATCAGGATTTAGTATTTATAAATTTCTGAATATTTAATTTAGAATTTGCTAAAACAAAATGACTTTTACTTAAATCAAGAACATTGTCAACTTGAATACAGTTGATCGGATTTGTTAGTGGTAATTGTGTTTCTACTTCCATATTAAGGGTCAGTGATAGATCTCTTATTAAAAAGAATACTCGTATGGCGCGTCGTGCTCTTTCAACCTGTGCAAACATTATTTTTGTTTCTTATTAATAGGTTTCACAATTTGCATTACATTAACAATATGTATTATCAAATAAAAGACTTTATCTCCAAAAAATATTTACATCTCCACATGGTAGTCTTTTAGTAAATTCGATACCCGTCATTGGAGTTCCCGTTGGCGGTAATAGAACATTACTGTCCATCATTAACCATTCAACATTCAAAGGTCGTTTCTGAATTTCGCTATATTCATCTTCAAACATATCTAAGAATATGTCTTCGCTCTGAAAATGGAATTAACTAATTTTTTTACAATCTGTAATATTTAAAATAGAAAGAGACAAATATAACACACCTTATAAAAATTCTTTAATAGCGATGTGCTCTGTTCTTTGGCTGCTTCAATTGCTGCCAAATGTGAATCTTTTAACATACTTTGACCTTCTGACATTACTAATTGTATTAACAATTTAATTGTCAATTCCAAAGTAACAAGTCTCACCTTAGCATCTGACAAAAATATTGTTCGTAAAAACGTAGATTATTATTTTGGAAATTAAAGAAGATATTCTGGAAAATGACTCACTTGTTTGACAACTTAATGTTATGATATGAATCAGTCTATCTATTAAAATTTCATTATATAAACCTGTAGTTGAATTTCGTGAATTGCATAAAATTGGATCCAAAGTTTTACGATCTATGCCCTTGAAAATGAATTTTATTAGAACAGTACTTTAGAATTTTATTAGATACAATAATTTGAAAATAGTTTTCTTACCTGATTATTAGCTAAAGCATAAAGTAAACACAACGCGAATAGAGCGGCATAATCGTTTTCTGTGCAAAATAAGGAATTTAAAATAGTTTCTAAGAATGGCTTATTTGATAATGATTCAGTTACATTTTTTTGAGTTTGAGGTGTTAAAGGAGTTTCTAACGCTAATCTTTGCTCCTTTTCTTCATCAGTAACATTTAAATGTTTGATTTCTTCCAAATCTTCAGCTGGAATATTTACGTCTAGTTGTTGTGGACTTATAAGTACTGATACACCTCCTGTTGAAGCAGTATCGAATGATGTACTAGCATGATTTGTTTCTGAAACATCTTCACTTCCATTTTTCACATTATCCTTTTCTTCTTTCAAATTACTTTCTTCTTCACAAAGTTCATCTGATACTGTCAAGGATTCACTTAAATTTTCTAAAGACTTCTCTAAACTTTCTCTCGGTGGTGAAAAAGCAATTGGCTTATCCAATGAAATATCACCATACATTTCAAGTACTTTACTTGCACCTGTTTGTATTGTTTTTAAATCTGACAGCAGCATTACTGCTGCTAGTGTATGTACAAGAGGACCATGAGAAACTATTAGAAATACTTGAGAAAGTAAAAATAAGGCTACAACAATGCTCACGTGTTTTCTTTCTTCCTATTAATCACAAATACAAATTACTACTATATCAAGTGATTATAGACTTATTAATTGGAAACATACCTGATTTTGGCACAGAAGATTTTTGTGTCTCATAAGTGAGTAAACATATAGTGGAACTAATAATTTATGAAGCAAGTGTTCTGATAAAACTTTATTTAAATCAGATATATTTAAACAAAGAATGTCATTTAAATAATGCAAATGATCTAAGTGTTCTGCTACTAAATCTGATAATCTGTTTTGACTTTGATGACTGAAACACACATATATTATGAAACATCCTCTGAATATGATAATTTAAATTATATTTGAAAATGACTTACTCAGCATCATTTCTAACACAAGTGTCAAGCTCTATAATGTGATTACCAATAAACCATACAAGATTGCTGAAATAGGGTGCAGCAGTGCGATCTCTTATAAATGCTAGCATGGAGGCATCTTCTACTCGATATACATTTAAAGTTAAAGTTCGCACTGCTATACGAACCATTCCTTCGGAGTGATTAAAAAATTTAATTGCCTCCGTATACAATGGAAAATCATTGGTGTGCTGATAAAAAAATCAAATTAAAACACATCCTCTTTTATGTGCTAAGTGCAGAATTTAAATAATGATGATGACAATGAAGATGAAATAATGACCACAGTAAAAAGCACATCATGAATAGATTAAATTATATGTATAATTAAATTAAAAAAAAATATATTAAAGGCAGCTACTATTAAAATTAATGAGCATGAGATTAGCAAAAGTGAAATAATAGACACAGAGGATTATCACGTGTACCTCGTTTACCTCATTATAAAAAAAGTGAATGGTATGTGCATTTAACTTCAAGCTTAAAGTCTTTAAAAAGCTGATGTAATATGCCATCACTTCCTCGTCGCTAAAGTCAAATTTGTGCACTATTATACTGTTTACATGATTATTACTAAGTAAATAATCTGGAAATAAATATTTGAATTGGAACTTTGCTAGAAGAGAGATCAATTAAAATTATAATATATAGTTTTGATAATAAACTTACATAAAGATGTCTCATTACGTATATTTTCAAATAATATATTTAAGGTCTGTAATAACTGAACACATACATAGCTTCCACATTTTTGTTTCATTATACGTAGGAAAAATGAAAGCATATTCTTTTCCAAAAAGAAACTAGTAAAGAATATAGATAGTTATTGTTTATTATACATGAAAAGGAAAAAAGTTAAATAGCATCTACTTTACTAATGCTTACTCAAATACACTGCTATCATTTTGGTCACCCCATATTAAAATTTCAGCTATGGAACGAAGAGTTTCTACCAACAAACCCCTATTATTTTCTGACACAGTTTGATTTTTTGATAGTACATGATACAAGTACCTATATATAACAATGAATAAAATTTAGACAAAGTACAAATTTAAATATACATATACATACTTAAGATGCTCTAAAGAATGAGGATTTTTGGGCTTCCAAAGCCCTCCTCCAAACCAGCTCCGACTTCGAAACATTTTTTAGTAATACAACTGCATTCGGGTGGTGTCTTGCATTAAATTCATATTCCTTTTGTTTCTTTTTGTCACTTTTTTGTTTGATTAAAGTATTATCACCGACATTTGTTTATGTAATTAAAATTATAATCGTGTAAGGCTTATTTAAATATAAATTAAATCTTCATAAACGTTAAAAAGATTGTCGAAATAGCAATAAAATTTAACACATTGTTCAGGTTAGAGTTATTTTTCCATTATACATTTTAATTCTCTTCATCTAATTATCAATTATTATATTTCTATATAAAATGCATTTACATTATTGTACATCTTCCAAATTGCACAACAAACAAATTATCGAAATAATGTCAGTCACGTACGTTCAATTTTACACGACGCAAAACGAAGACTACCCTCCATTACTGAACAGTCAATGGAACTGTACGTTAGGTTAGTTAATGTCGTTTGTTATTATTATTTATAATTTTGTTAAATACTAAAAGAACGTGTTTGTTATATAAGGAAAAAAGTAGAATCTTTTTAACATTTCATTAAGTTTTGTATAAATTATATGAATATAAACGAACGAAGGTTATGATAAAGTAAGAAAATTTCAACATGATTTCATAATAAAGTGTGTTGACAAAGAGAAAAATATATATTGATATTGAGTCATCTGTAAATATTATAAGCTTGTATGATTCATAATAATGAGAGTTTTGGAATTATATAGTGGTATTGGTGGAATGCATTATGCTCTTCAAGGTAACTTATTATACTGCTATTATACTGCTATTTGTTAGTTATATTGTTTAACAAAATTTAACCTCTACTTTTTATCAAGTTGTTTATTACAAAAACGATATTATGTCTTAAATAAAATATATTAAATAAAATATATCTACAAAAAATTTTATTTTCAGAAAGTGGTATTAACGGAGATGTTGTTGCAGCAGTTGATATAAATACTGTTGCAAACAGTATATACAGATATAATTTTCCAAATGTATTACTTATGAATTGTAATATTCAATCACTTTCTGCAAAACTGATAAATGACTTAAATATAGATACTATATTAATGAGTCCTCCATGTCAACCTTACACAAGAGTTGGACTTCAGAGAGATATATCGGATAATAGATCATCTTCGTTACTTCATGTTCTTTCATTGATTCCACAATTGAGAACATTAAAGCATATATTGCTTGAAAATGTAAAAGGATTTGAAAAGTCTGAAATGAGAAATGCAGTATTAAAATGTATGAATATGTCTGGATTCAATTATAAGGAACTAATTCTAAGTCCTTGTCAATTTGGTATTCCAAATACCAGATATAGATATTATTTATTGGCTAAAAGGAAGGATTCTGAATTTTGCTTTGATCACTGTATATTAAATTTTAATCTACCAGAAGCTGTTTTAAAGGCCTTACCAAGAAGTAAACATAATTTATTATTAGAAGGTGCTAAAACAGATAAGAAGTGCTACAAATTAGAAAATATTTTAGAAAATGTTGAAAAGTCACAGTATTTAATTCCTAGAAAGTTGTTACAAAAGAGAGCTTGGTTGTTTGATATAAGAACATCTCAAAGCGATGGTTCTTGTTGTTTTACAAAAGCTTATAGTCATTATGCAGAAGGAACAGGTTCTGTATATTCTCCATATACCGAAGAAACAATCCAACAGATATTTTTAGAAGCAAATAAGTATGGCAAGCAATCATTAGAAGCATCAGAAGTTTTACAAAAATTAATGTTAAGATATTTTACACCCAAAGAAGTGTCTAGATTAATGTGTTTTCCTGAAGAATTTAAATTTCCAGAACATATAACATGTAAACAAAGATACAGACTTTTGGGAAATTCAATTAATGTATATGTAGTTAGTAGATTAATATTTTTATTATATACTGAGAAAAAAATTACATGACATTCACAGAAATATATTTTATATATATTTTTAATAAAAAAAATGTTTTATATTCCAAAACGAAGTTACAAATTTCTAACAGAAAAAATACAAAGAAATAAGTATAATAGGTAAATGAAGTCTCTATAATAACATATTTAGTTTTTGACATAAATATAGATCATTCATGACCATCTAAGTCCTAAGTGATTACAAATGTTAGCATTTACATAATTTTTGTACTTTAGTCATTTACAATCATTCATAGTAGTATAATCATTGTTAACCAAGTATCATTGCAATCATTGCTTTTGATTAATATGAAGCTCACATTTCTCTTAATTCTTAATACATACTTAGAAGTGCTAGTAATTCAGTTTTTTGCATTGTGTAATTTTGGTACAGAATCGTTCAATACCCAGTAATGTTATTGCTTTTATGCTCAATAGAAAACTCTAGTATGTTTAAAATATTTTATATAGTTTCTAGTTCAGGTGGAATGTGAATTTTCTTTTCTATTGCAAATTTTTTTAGTGCTTGATATTTAGAGTGCCAAGATTCTATTTCTTCTCTCATATGATTATTGTCCTCCTGCATAGCTTCCATATCACGATATTCCTGTGTCTTTTCTGACTCTAACTCATCTTTTTGTTCAATTCGTTTGATACGACAACTGGCTGCATATCCTCTGTTTTTCAATGTGCGTCTACGTTGTTTCATACGAACTATTTCTTCTCGTGATAATCCACGCAATTTCAGCTGCCTGTTTAAATCCCTAACTGATATAGTCACTAGTTCATCGTCACTAATGTCTAAACAAGGACCAGGTGATAGTGGATCCTACACAAAAATTGATCATAATTTTTCATCAATTTCATTTTATGATAAATAGATACATATTTACTATATGTTATGTAGAATTATATAACATGTAAATATGAAAACAAATATTTTCATAACATCATAAATTATTTAGAAATTACATATATAATAGATATTTCATAACATCATAAATTATTTAGAAATTACATATTTCGTCTTGTTTTCTTATGAATAATCATGAAAAGGCATTTATTTACGTACTGAAAAATTAGCTGTAATTATCTTTTCGAGAGAATTATAACTGACAATCTGCTTTCTTCTATGTCATATTAATGGACTTTAAAAACATATGATGCACTGATTAAAGGAGATCGTGCATTATACAGAGGGGCAACGTACCATCTTTATAGATCGTTTTCCATCCATGGATATATTTCTCAACTGATTCTTTCAAGTTTCTGCGTCGAGAAACCACCAAAGTTTTGATTTTACTTTAGCTTTCACGCTTTGAAGAAAAATTCGCTTAGTCATCGTAGAATCTGATGCTGGTCAGTTCACCATTCAATTGATGATAGGTATCTTTCTAAAAACATGAACTTTGTCCATGAAAGATCTTTTATAGATTTCTAACAAGTACATCAACATTTTATTGAAAAAGAATATAGATCTGTATATTCTCTATATCATAAAAAGTTTGAGAACGATATTTAATTTCGAAAGAATTAAATATTATGTCTATCTTTTAAACTCTATAGATGGCGTATCATGATACTAAATAGGATATGCTTTCACTTTAGTTGACTTAATTCTCAATAGAGGGCTACCAAATTATATATTTTCTCGATAGTTGTTGCATGAATAGAGTTTCCTACATATTAGAGAATTTAAATGCATTTTGTTGAAACGGATTTACGAGTGGCGAAGATCGCTGCTAAGGCCAAATCTTCACCGTTGAAACCTAACCCCAATCTAGTTTTTACGTTCTTTTAAGAACTCTGTTGCATTTAGTCATTGTGATGCTATATATCACAATGAGGAAGAAAATTTGTAATTTTCTATGTTCTTCTGGTTTTCTCGCCCAGTTCCAGATGAAAAAATGCTCGTCTTCATTAAGATGAGAAAGGGTATTCTCGGTAAGTCCGTTTCTTTTTCTGGTATTTTACAAGGTAACCTGATTTTTTTTAATTGTTATTAACTAAACTGCAGATATTTATGCATAGATTTCACATAACGTGAAAAAGTATATAAAATATCCAAAGTATAGAGCTTTCAATAATATTTGATAGATAAACAATTTTCTACAGAGGTTGTACATTTTTTTAGTTTATATTCTTAAAAATATGAATTTGCATAAAAATACGTAGTCTAATTATCTTTTTATTAACAAAATTTTATCTATAAAATCATAATTCTTGCTTTAAGAATGGAATATAGCTTAAACTTTGTATAAAAAATGCATAGTTTCATTGGAATTTGTATCGATTATTGAAATTATTTCTATGTTGGTTTTTGTTTCGTTGAATTTTATTTTGTGTATAGTAGATGCTTGTAACTATTAAATTAAACATTAAATGTTCACGTAGTACTTCCGGTGTTTCAATACTGTAGGTGGCGTTCTAACAACGCGTTCTTCGAATGTATTCTCTTAATACGACATTAATTCCTTTTACTTTCTTCGGTATTTATGGTTACTCAATTAATACAGTGTTAATGGAAAGTGAAATATATGCAGTGTTCTTCTTAGACACATAAATGTGTCACGTAAGGAAGTAAAAATAGCGATTCAATTTCAAATATTATTGGCGCCATCCATGAATTCTTGCACGCTGGTTAGGATAACAAATAAAGTAAGTTTTCATTAAATAAACATAAACGAATATACAGCCCTCGTTACTGTATAATGAAAAATAAACGAAAGATCGGCAGTTTTGCAAATGTGAACGTAATAATGTATATTTATAAAACGAATAGGGAGAATTGGAATGGAAAGGTCAGTTATCGAATGTGTATAAAGAGCAGAGTGATAGATTAATTTAGCTCGATGCAAATGTTTAATGCAATTAGTGTTTCATTCTATAGGAGTCTATTTTAAGCTATTGAATCAAGATCCTATGCAATTTATGCATATATTTGTATGTTTTATATATATATATGTGTGTGTGTGTGAAATACATTATAAAACATACAAACACATGCATAAATTGCATATATATATGTGTGTGTGTGTGTGTGTGTGTGTGTGTGTGTGTGTGTGTGTGTGTGTGTGTGTGTGTGTGTGTGTGTGTGTGTGTGTGTGTGTGTGTGTGTGTGTGTGTGTGTGTGTGTGTGTGTGTGTGTGTGTGTGTGTGTGTGTGTGTGTGTGTGTGTGTGTGTGTGTGTGTGTGTGTGTGTGTGTGTGTGTGTGTGTGTGTGTGTGTGTGTGTGTGTGTGTGTGTGTGTGTGTGTGTGTGTGTGTGTGTGTGTGTGTGTGTGTGTGTGTGTGTGTGTGTGTGTGTGTGTGTGTGTGTGTGTGTGTGTGTGTGTGTGTGTGTGTGTGTGTGTGTGTGTGTGTGTGTGTGTGTGTGTGTGTGTGTGTGTGTGTGTGTGTGTGTGTGTGTGTGTGTGTGTGTGTGTGTGTGTGTGTGTGTGTGTGTGTGTGTGTGTGTGTGTGTGTGTGTGTGTGTGTGTGTGTGTGTGTGTGTGTGTGTGTGTGTGTGTGTGTGTGTGTGTGTGTGTGTGTGTGTATATATATCATATAAAAAGTCATGATAGACGTGTATATATATATATATATATATACACACACACGTCTATCATGACTTTTTTTATCGAGTAGTATAGGTTAAAAATTTAATAAAACAAAATTACGAATACTTAGATTAAGATTCGTTTGAGAATGATTTCCCACGTTTTCAGAGAGTTCTATATGTATTTATTAATTACTAAATAATTTTTTACTAAATAATTCATTAATTGGTGAATAATACTAAGATTACTACAGTACATTAATTACTAAATAATACAATAAAATAGAAAATTTAATAAATACAACGAACACGTGTGTAAAATAGAATATTCTCATGGAGCATACACTACATTTTTAATAAAAATTTTTTATTATTCAAGGAAGAGAGGGTGTCGGTGCTGCAGTAATGCTTACTAACTTGTTTTTCTGTTCCAGATCCGGAGAATGGCTATTATCTTTTAGCAGTAATTCAATAGCTGAGAAAATGACAGGACTGGAGGAAGATGATAGGACGAGGAGGGCGACGCTACAAAGGATGGGCCGTAAGAAAGAAAATATTTATCATGTGAAAATACAGATGAGCTGTCGCTAAAGAAATATATCTATAGATTTATAGATTTTATAAGCGGAATTGCAAGGCTTATTATACCCCTTGATATCGTCATGTTCTACTTTAATTAATATAAATTGGAAAATTCTTAAATCAGTCACGTTCTTAAATTGATCGTTATTAGCGTTAGGTTAATACCTTTTACGTTCTCCATAAATGTAGATCAGTTTAGACTTTCTTATGATTCAACGACTTGTCGCATTGCGGCTGATTCAATGTCTAGGCATTTCGCTTCGTTCCCGAAATCATTTGCAACTGCAGCGATTGACTCGCGGCTCATAAATGCTTCGTTATCGCGAACAGGGCAGAGGTATGTATAATTTTCTTGATAGGGTTTGGGAAAGATGCCAGCGTAATGGACAAAGAAATCCGTGTCTAGGGAGATTAATGAAAGATGGCATAAGATATAAACTAGGGAACATCAGATTGAGTAAAGAGGGAAGATATACTCTGGAAAGGAATTTTATTTTTACGAAGATTTATCATCCTATTGTTCAAAAGCATTTGTGATTCTTATAATAGAAGGTAAACGAATAATTCGAAAAATTCTGGAATATTGCTTTCAGATATTGGGAATATTATCGGGAAATTTCGTGTTGCATTCGCGATAGAACAAGGAGTGATGTATTTGATGCGCCGATGAGTCAACAGTTTGACTAATACTAGTCTGGTGGGTGTACAGAAATCCTCTCGGATCTGCGGGCTTTGATCGTCATGCGTTTCTAAATTTAATTGGCACGGTACATCGATTTCTATTCAGTACTGTTGACATAACCGTAAGTCTCGCTGGTATAAATTGATAGATGTAGTTTCGACTTAGTATCAAACGTCTTTCATAACATTGCAGTTTGTTTAAACGGGAACGTTATTCTCAGAGCTTTAACTTGCAATTTGACTTACTGTTGTGCCATCGATTCATTATAGCCGTTAAAAATCCACATAGTTTATAAAACAAGCTTTCTAATTTCCATATAGAGTTGTTTGGTCATCGGTACAATGAATAATTCTGTCCACACGAGATAATAAATAGATAACAGAAACGACTACTTCGATTACTATCTAAATTAATGCTATTAATCCGTGAGGTCATGGTGTAGCATTAAACAGCTTATTCGTCGCTGGTCGAAGTTCATTAGCATATACCAGATATTCCGCACAGTATCTTGATCTGCGTGGCACGCTGTCACCGTTAATCCTTTACAATCATATTCGATTTGTCTCTGTATCATGATATCCTTTCTCAGCTATCAGTTTCTCGCAGGCCTTATGATCTTTTGCTTTTCTATAAAATTTTCATAAATTCTCAATATGTCGCAATAGAGTAA